TCAGCTAGCGGCAGGTCTCCATGAGCGATGTCTCTGAGTAGCTGGTTGCCCAGTGCAAGGACGCTGGCATCATTTCTGTCTCCCTCCTTCCTCACTCCAGGTCCCAATCTTATTCCTCAGGGCACAGTCAGGCACTTTCCAAAACCAGAGGAGTCCCATCACCCAGGTCGCTAACCAGCACAGGTTCTCCTCTTCCCAGGATAAATGCTGTGTCCCTGGGATATCTTCCCAACACTTCCCACCCAGATCCCAGTTCCTTCGAAAGCAAATGCTCTTCCCAGTGGTTCCCATCAGCGGCTCTTACATCTCTGTCTGTGTTTGCATGCTCCCAGGCTGGAAGGCTGCTCCTGGTCACCAGACACAACCAGGCTCTCCTCATCTATCAAAGACCAGCTCATATAAACTTTCCTCTTTTCTTCTTAAAAAAAACTTCATTTATTTATTGAGAGAGTGGAAACTCCGACAGAGTTTTTATACCATGATCCACTCCCAGCTTCATCCAGCCAGGATCATGAACTATGCAGGGAGACCTTGAGATGTGAACCCAGGCCCTTCCCATGTGGCTTCAGCATCATGGAGCATTGCGTGCCTGCCCTCCATGCTGCTGCAGCTGGCTCCTTTTCTTTTTCCCCTGACTCCTCCTAGCACTGAAATGCAGTTTCATAGAAAAGCAAAGTATGTTCTTGATGTTCTTTAAGTTAATGCCCACCTACACAGAATCTTGGAATGTTATTAATCACTATTTTCCCTTAACAAGGTGCTCACTTCTCTTACCTGAAATGCAATGTATTATCACAATAGTCCTGGTATTCCACACAACATGTACAATATTTTGAGCAGTTGTGCTTCCATAGTCAGGATTGATGAACAGTACAACGAAATACCCTAGCTTTGGCTTAAACTAGAATTTGCCAGTGCTTTTATGGAACAAAGTTGTAGCAATATTTGTCCAGTCTTAGAATATTGTAAAAAATACATTTACCATAACCACACTTTTCCAGAATCATATGTGTGTGTGTGTGTATATATATATATATATATATAGAGAGAGAGAGAGAGAGAGAGAGAGAGAGAGAGATTTTTGCTACTGGGCATGAATGCTCCCAGAAAGACAGAGAGAGAGATAGAAAGACAGAGGGTGAGAATGCACCTCTCCTCTCTGGATTTTGGACATGCACACACATTAGCCTGTTGAGAACTTCCAGCCTTCTGGTCAGGGACTAGGACCATGGTCTACCATGTGGGAGTCCAGAACCTTAAGCATTATGCTATCTGCTGGCCCCAGAACCATATTTTTAGAGACTTTAATGACGCTGGAAACATCATCAAGAGTGCTTCTTAGCAATGAACTTGAAAAACTGAAAAATTGGCTTTGGTAAGTTTGTCATAGAAACTTATCATCCTTTGCAATGAAAAGATTCCGTGTGTGCATGTGTGTGCATCTGTGCTTTCGTGTAG